GCCCCCCCCCACACACCCACACACACCTCTCGGCGTCAGCGCGATGTGCAGCCAGGACTGGCTGTCCTCGAAAGCTGGAAAACCGGATGCTATACCCTGCAACGTTGAGAACAGATGCAACGGTGATGTCAGCCCCCAAATCCCAGGCCGTGCTGTGTCGGCATTTGGGCTGGGCCCTGCTATACAAAGAGGAGATTAGGATTTAAAGCAGACAGGGGCGCTGGGAGGGGGAGGGGCACTTTACAATAATGTTGCTGCGCTTAACAACAATCCCTTCACAGAGCGCGTTGGGGATTTGCTTTTTGTCCTGGGCCCATTGGCTTTGGGCAGGAGAGTATTTGCCTCCGTAAGCGTCCCTTTGTTTAGTTTCACGCCACCAGACAGCAGGCGTGTCCTGGCGACGTGAGGGAGCAGGGCCATGTTCCCCGTAAACACCATGAATGGGCCTCTTACATCAGGGATCTGTGGTTCAGGTCTGGGGCACTGACCCAAATTCCTGCTTTCCTTAATGCCCATTGGAACTGCAAAGCACTGGAGTCTGATTATTCAGCATAGTAGCGCCGCGGGCCAAGCGCGATGGGGGACCTCGCAGTGCTAGGGGCTGTACTAGCAAAGAGACCACCCCAGTCCCCACAGAGTTACAATCGCAAGAGACAAGACAGACTATGGGTACAGCACACAGCAGGGATCTCAAACTCCTCGCCCGGGGCCCATTCCTGGCTGGAGCGATTGTGCGGGCCAGGGGGAAGCTGGCCAATACTGGGCCCCAAACGTCACATCACACCAGCTTGCTGGTGTCTGCCGGCGTCCTGTCCCCTGGCTTGTGCCCCACCTCCTCACGCCAGAGCTGCACGCAGGCAGCCCGGCAGCGAGAATCTCCGCACTCCTCCCCCGCCCCAGCGGCGCTCCGCTCCTCCGCCCGGCTGGCGGATCGGATGGGGCCGCGCCGCCCGTAGTTGTCACAGGCCGCACAGTGAGCCCCTGTGGGCCACATGTGGCCCTCGGGCCGTATGTTGTGCAGGCCTGCCTTGCTGGATTGCACAATTGCTCGGGACAGGAGTTTAAGACCCTTGGCATAGAGCTAGCACGTGCAAGCAGAGTGACTGTTTGCAAACAGCACGCTGGCTCCACAATTTGGGAGGAGCTTTTGGGCTGTTTTTTACAAAAAACTTTCCAAACAATAAAAGAGAGAGCAGTAAACGTAATTCTTAAGAGTCCACTCAACCACTGAAACGCACCTGTCTCTGAGGAGGAACAGAGCATCTATTTAAGAGCTCACAGTAACAGCACATAACAGTTTAGCAAGGACACGGATGAACATTAAATTCACCCAAACCTTTGGCAACACAGAAAACGAACAGACCACGCAGCTTACAAAATGCTTCTATAACAAATGCAACTTTCCAATAAACGCTTTTATCAGATTTGCCCCAGCAGTAAGGTCTGCGGGAATAGGTGTTTAGACCTGGGTTTTGTCCAAAGTACATTGATTTTGTGATTCTGCGAAAACTAGTAAAAATTGCAGAGGGGGGAAAAAGTGAGAGGAAAAAGTCAGGAGTTCCAGGCTAGTCTACAGAGACCTTTACACCATGCTCATCATTGCAGCTGCATGCTCCTTTGTCAAATTATTACCAATTTGGTACCGACTATTTGAGAGAGATTGTCTGTCTGTTCAAGAACTCTTCCTAAACAAGAAGAGGAAGGACCACCAAATTTGGTACACGGCTTCCTTATATCAACACTTTAAGGAGGCTTGGCTGTGGCAGGACAATAGGATGTGCCTGGAATGGGATTGCTTCTCAGAAAACACTACAGAAAAGAGATAGAAGCACCAGGCAGGTGAAAGGAGCTGGCTGGGGGTTCCTCCCTGCATCAGGGACTGCCTTAGCCCCGAGCCTCTCACCCCCCAGTATTCCTTAGAGAGGACTGCAGCTCCATCCCTCCCCCTGAGGGTCATTGCTGGCTGTTCCCCTTTGTCAGGGAGCAAGGGGAACGTGCACAGTGTGCTGCATTCCTCGCTCTGGCTGGGGAGCGCAGGGGGCAGGTGAACATGCACCCGTCCCCTGGCTGTGCCCTCTGGAGCTGGCCCCAAACCGCTGCAGTGTGAGAGGACTGGGGCTGCATACTGAACCCCTCCTCCCCAGTCCCACCTTAGAGCTGGGGAGTCTAACCAGTTCTATAGCAGTAGCCACATGATATTGAAAATGTAAATAATATAGTGGCTACTACGACTGCTAACCAGCCACATTCCACCGGCCAAGTAGCCACATGTGGCTAGCGTGTGGGACACCACAGCCCTAGAGCAATGCCTGAAATGAAGCATGGACATTTTCATTTTATTTTCCAAAACCAAATATTAATTGCGCTAAAGACCCGAGCAATGCCAGGTAAATCTTCTAGTTGGCTCAAAGATTGTGCATCTGCACCACTGAGCAGAGCATCCTAGTTTATGACAAAAATAATAAACGGGGGATTTTGACTCAACTTCTCTGAACCAGGTCAAGCGGCAGACTAGATCACGTTCAGAAGGGATGCAGCTGACCTCACTGAGGAGGAGAGAGACTGGCTGGCGCTGGCTCTCTCTGAGCACCTGCAAAGCCTGTTTATTTGTGCGGATGTCTTTGCGTTGTTGGAAGCCATTAGGGATGTAAAAAGTCGTTTATAAAAGGTAGCAAGCACTGAAGATCCTAGTGGTTACGCGCGCTGCAGGCTCTGCAGTATAAAGCTTGTATACTTTCCATTAGGCCACGGGGGCCCACCCTACCGCCCTACTGTATACTGCAGAGCCCTAAGTGAAGTCCCCCCGGAAGCAGGGCCAGCAAGGGTTGCTGGCCTCATTCCCGGGAGGCTTCGCAGCAGGCTCTGCAGTTGGCTCCCCAGGAGCAGGGCTTGCAGCCCCTACCCTCCCTGCTGCTAGGGAGCCGGTGTGTAATCTGTGGAGGGGGAAGCCAAGCTGGGCCTGCCCTGCACAAGGGCTGCTCTGCTCCTGCCTGCCCTTCTCCCGCTGCTGCCTCTGTGGGAGACAGCAAGGACGGGACAAGTCGTTCCGCGGAGCTGGCATGCGCAGGGAGCTGGCTTAAAAGCCGACTCCCTGCGCATCTTGGCTCCCTCCTCGCCCCCTCTGCTGCCTCAGAGAGAGAGGCAGCAAGGGGAAAGGGGAGTGCGTGTAGTTGATAGGATTAACTGATAAATCCAGACTTATCGGTAAATCATGTACTCGACTATACACTGACATCCCTAAATGGAACTGGTTAACTATTTACGTCCCTAGTAGCAATCAGATTTAAAGTTCGTTAGATGGATAAAATGCTTTTGCAAAGAACTAACTTTGACTACGGGAGCGTCCTGTAAAGGCCGAAATGTTCTAAGCCAGGGTATGAAGTTACAGTCATAACATCATCGCTGGTTGACCAGGCCCTCCATGTAGCAACCACAAGAGTAGGGTCCCCCCAGGATCTCCTTCATTCCAACCCTTAAAAGGTTCTCCCCAAAGTACCAGTAGTGGGATATGATGAAACCACCTGGCTGCCAAACTGCACCGGTGGGCCAGGCCGATGGGTGTGTGGATGCGGGTGGGAAGGTGGCAGGGCTGTTGGGAGGCAGCCAGACCAGTTCTGTGCATAAACAGGAGGAAGGAGAGTTCATGGTACCTTCCCCAGCCACCCCACAGAAAGATTTTGTCCCCTCCACCCCACTCACCAGATTGGCTCGGTCTTCAAGTGGTAATTGAGGGCGGAGACAAGAACACTCTCAGGAAAAGGCGGCTTCCCGGCTGCACGCTGGATGTCGAAGTGAGCGGCGTTGCAGAGGGCGTGGACGCCGGTGTCCGTGCGGCTGGAGATGAAGAACTTGACGGGAGCAACAGGTCTGAGACGCTGTGCCGCCTGCTGCAATCCAACAGAAGGGACAGTGAGCGAGGCGTTCACCAGGAGGCCGCCGTATTCTCTGGCTCTCCCCCATGCCTGCTCCTGCACCGCCGCAGTCAACAGGAACAAGAGCGCGGCATCTTACAGGCCTGGTGCCGCTGAACCGATCTGAGCTTTGCTCCAAGAAAGCATCAACTGTACACATTTAACGCAAGTTGTCCCTGAGCTGCGGGGAGTCACAGGGACGCAGCCAGAGGGGACTCCCAGCCGGCAGATAGAACAGAAAGTTTATCTGTCAACAGGGACACAGCGTAGAACAGGCTTGGCTACTGGTTCCTGTGCTGCCATCAGTACAATCCATCCAGGGGAAGCGCCCAGAGCCCTGGCGGTCAAGACTGACTCCCCAAACCAGCCAAGACTGACTCACACCCCACTTCTGGTCCCTGCCCCCAGCCAGCCTCCTCCGGCCTTTGTCCTGTTTCCTGGGCAAAAGGTGTCACCTGGTCCGGCCCCCTCCAAGGCTCAGGTTAGGGAGGGCATCAGCCATTGTGTACATGGGGGAGGCTATCGCACAGAAAGTCCCATTGCCATGTAGGTATTAGCGCAGAGCCCAGGGAAACTGAGGCACACACACGGGGTTACTGTAGGACAGTAGAACTCACATGTGACATCACGAGGTGGATAAAATCCCCACCTTGTCACACAAGCACCAAAGAGAACTTCCTACATCCACTTCTTTCTTTGAAAGGTCAAGGATATCAGCAGGAGTCCAGCTGAGAGCCCTTGGCCCCTTGCAGACAGCAAGCCAAGACGCGTTTTCAATTCTTGGAGGCCAACAGCCAAAATACCCAATTTAGAGATGACGGAATATCTTTGGCGGCCCAGTTTGAATCACCAGAAAGGGGCTTGATTTTCAGACTGCGAAGAGTAGTCGCCTTCTTGGGAATCAGCCCCCTTTTGAGCACCCCAAAATGGAGGCCCCCAAAATTAGGGATGTGAACGGGTAACCAGTTAACTTACCCGGTGATGCTTACTGGGCAATGGTTAACTGGACCCCAGAAGCAGCCCCCCACCTGCAGCCCATCATGAGCGGAGGGCTGCTCCAGTCCTACCAGACCAGACCCATTGTGCCGTGGGAGCTGGCAGTCCCACACAGACCGGGCGCCTCGTGCTGGGAGCTGCTGCAGCCGGGCTGGCTCCCTTTTAATTGGTTAACCTGTTACATCTAACGTTGAACTGGCTAACCAATTAAACAGGATTTTACACCCTTCCTCAAAATCCCTAATCGCTGCTGAAGGCAGGCACTTGTTTTTCATGCAATTATCATCATAGAAAAGGAATCACATATAAACAGATGTCAGACAGTGCTGGTTGGTGCTCAGACACTATGGCTATGTCTACACCGGCGGGATCTTGCGCCAGAGCTATGCAAATGAGGCTAAGCGTGGAATATCGCCGAGCTTCATTTGCATATCTAATGAGCCGCCATTTTGCAGAAGAGACTCTTGCACAAGAAGGAGCTGTCTACACTGCCCCTTCTTGCACAAGAAAAACTCTCTTGTGCAATGCCATTTTTCCTGAAAATAATCAGTGTAACAGCATTGCGCAAGAGGGTTTTTCTTGCGCAAGATCATGCCAGTGTAGACATAGCCTATGTGATGAGGAGGGTATAAGACCTTAGACAGGGGACTAGCTGTCTGTTTTTCAATGGTGATTTCCCCTTCAAGGCGATGCAGAGTTTAAATCTAGTTTTCCACCAAGGGCATGTCTTCACTTTGCGGAAGATCGCCAGGGCCGCAATCGATTGTCCATTTATTCTTTTGTATAGAGCAGGGCAGGGCAATAACTTTTTGCTGGGGGTCACTTCGAAAATTTTTGAAGCGGCCCCAGGCCACACAGGAAGGGGCGGGGCATCGAGAAGGGGCGGGGCCGATATTTCTGGGTTTCCCACCTCCAGACAATGATTGGTCTGGGGTGAGGGAGTGTCTTTGCCCCACCCCAAGGTGCCCATGCCCCTGGTTTGGGAGGAGACTTCCCTCGCTCCACTGTTCCTAGGCCAATTAGGGCCTGGGGGCGAGGGTGCATGCGAAGCTTTTCCCCCCCAGCAGTGCATGGTGCTTCAAAGTGGATCCGGCCCGTGGAGGCCCTGCTGCTCCCCCGCCCCAAGGCCAATTAAGGCCTGAGGGCAGGGGAGCATGCAAAGCTTCCTCCCGCCTTGCCAGGAGCACCCGGTGCTTTCAAGCGCCACGGGCTGCTCACAGGGTGGGGCAGACCAGAGAAGGCTTCGCGCGCTTCCCCCACCCCCAGGGCAGCAGGCTGCACCTGGCCGTGCTGCAACTGCCCCAACTCCCAGCCTTGGCAGCCCCGGCCGTCCCTGCTCCCGGCCACGCCACAGCCCCAGCTCCTACTTTTATACTTAATACAATCACTTTTGCATATTAATAAACCCAATGTTAAGAAGAGTTACCTGGCGATGCGAGAAGTCTGGGCATCGCTCTCTTCCAGAGAACGGGGGCGAACTTGAGCTTCTCTTGGATACGATTTTACACCGTGCAAGACGGATTTATCTGGGGGTCAGGTCCCACTGGGGCTGTGCGCCTGGGGGTTGGGGCAAGCCCCCTTGGCTGAGCCTTCCTAGAGATTAGCTGACCACAACATTTGTATTCTACTGCCAGGGGCTGTGACCTCATCTCTGTGTCCGTGCAGGCAAGGGGCCAGAGGGCCTGTCTCAGCAGGACGAAGAGCTGAGGGATGCCCAGGGAGGCAGGTGGGTGGGCTCAGTGGTATTTCAGCACATCAAATGACAGACCCAAAGGGGTCTCTGGGACCCAACCTGTCACACCATTACTAAATGCCAACACCCCAAAATCAAGTCCCTGCCCTGTTCGTGCGCACACGTAGCGAGGGAGCTGACGCACAGACATACACACACGGCAACTAACGACACGATCAACCGTACTGATACAAGTCAGACCCTTCCGTTCACCAGTCACGTGTGTTGCTGTCACACAGGACTGGGCTGCTCATGTTTAAAAAAACAGCCTTGTTTTCCTATGAAGAGTCGTCTTGGCATTGAGGCCACGTCCCGCTAACACGCCTGGGTCCTCAGTCACAGCAAGACTAAAATAAAAATGGCCACAGGCAATACATTATTGATATAGGCCGAGGGCTGCATTTCACTAGAGCCACCTTCCTGCCCTTGACCTCAGCTGTGCGGTGAGGTTTGGGGGGGGAGGGAGGGAAACAAAGTTGAACACGACAGCCCCACAATACTAAAAATCACCATTTTTAAACCAAGGGGAACGGAAATGGTTTCCACAGTAAATTAAACACCTTTTGAAAGGGATTACAGTTCCCATTCCCCACCATGCCGCCCCCCCTTACGTTTCCTCCTTTGCCTCACACCAAAGGGCTGGGAAAACAAACGGGGGTGTAACCGATTACATTTTAAATTGGTTATACGGTTAAACGAGCTCCACAGGACCATGCCCCATCAGTCTTCAGCCCCCGCGGGCTGCCGGCTTTTTATGCTTCCAGCCCCCAGGGGCTTCTCAGTTAAACTTTTCCATCCCTAATGGGGGCCTGTGTATGGACATGCAATAGGATGAATTACGGTATCTTAAAAACGATGAGGCGGCGTGTGGCAGCTTAAAGACTAACAGGTTGAGTTGAGCATAAGATTGCACGGGCAAAGACCCACTTTGTCAGATGAATGCAGTGGAAATCACAGAGGCAGGCATAAATAAACTCCACCAGTGCTGATCCCAAGCCCTGATCAGGAAGGAGGAGCATTGGTCAATGAGGTAGCTTCCCTTCACTGCAAAAAACTCTTTGAGCTACAGAAACTACTCACGTTACCATGAAATCTGCTGAAAAGCACAGGGTGGACTAAAGTCTAAGATGAGAATGTAAAATCCCGTTCAGTTGGCTAACCGGTTAAATGTTAAGTTTAACCAGTTAACTGATTAAACATGGGATGAGGGCTGCTCTAGCCTTTACTGGTTAACCATATCCGGTAAGCATCACCTGTTGAGGGTAAGGCTTACCAGTTAACCATTAACATCCCAAGTTTAAGGCATAAATATCCTAGTACATGAAATGGAGTTACCTTATCAAGTGGAGGATTAGCATTACCTAGGCCAATTCAGACAGGGGAGGGGGAGATGTGCCCCACTCCCAACAGTTGATGGGGAGCTGTGAATCCCAAGAGAAGGAAAGTTGTTTTTGTAATGAGCCAGCCATTCCCAGGCCCTGTTCAGCCCCAGATTAATAGTGTCAGGTTTGCATGGGGATTGCAGCTCTGCAGTTCCCCTTCAAAGTCTTGTTTTGAAGTGGTTGTGTTGAAGAGAGGCCACTTCCAAATCTCTTAGGGTATGTCTACACTACCCCCCTAGTTCAAACTAGGGGGTAATGTATGCATACCGAACTTGCTAATGAAGCCCGGGATTTGAATTTCCCAGGCTTCATTAGCATAAAGCCGGCGCCGCCATTTTTAAAAGCCGGCTAGTGCGAACCCCGTGCCGCGCGGCTACATGCGGCACGGACTAGATAGTTCGGATTAGGCTTCTATTAGGATTCAAATCCCGGGCTTCATTAGCAAGTTCGGTATGCATACATTACCCCCCTAGTTCGAACTAGGGGGGTAGTGTAGACATACCCTTACTGAGTGTCCAGGGAGACGGAAGCACTCTCCTTCTGGGTTTTGCATATGACCACTCGATGTTAAGGACACTCTGTGTCCATTTATTCCTTTGCAAAGAGACTGTCCAGTTTGGCCAAAGTACATGGCCGAGGGGCACTGCCGGCACGTGATGGACAGATCACATTAACAGGTGTGCAGGTGAATGAGCCCGACAGCGTGGCTGATGTGCTTAGGTCCTATGATGGTGATGCTTGAGTAGATGTGTGAGATATTGAATCACAGAATCTTAGAACTGGAAAGGACCTCGAAAGGTCATCAAAGTTCACCAGGACGGACTTGACACATTTTCAAACACAGCTTGTCCAGTCTACACTCGAGC